TTATTCTAGTTTTTTTCTAACATGTGCATAGTTTGAAAAGGACAGCTGTTGTCTGTACTATTTGTAATGAAGAGACACGGTCTCAACCTCCGGTCTCCTGAGTCAACCGCAGCGACAAAAGACTGAATAGAGTAGATTGTTTACTTGCCTTGAATAAATTTGTGCACTAAATTTATAGTGGGGGATTTGTCACATGAAAACCAACATGTACAGAAAATAACTGGGGCGCCAGATGAAAACATGAAAACAAATCAACCCACAAAGTGGTTGTGTTGATTGGTGCGATTTTCATGTTTTTGCCCGGTGCCCTTATGCAAAAACAAATCCAGCCTTCATAAAAATTTCTTCTTATGTTGTCACGGGTTAATGATTTGGGTCAAGCTAAAATTTTTCTCATCCTTACTGATATAAGCATTTAAAATTTCCTATGCTCGTAACATAAAAAATTCACGGAACCAAATGGGATTTGGGGAAAAAAAATTAGTTTTTTTGGGGGGTTTAGAACGTTTCATTATTAAAGAAAAAATTGTAGCAGGAGGGATAGTCATTTTGGTTTCTGAAAGCCCAGGGTTTGAGCAGGGTCAGGCATTTCAGTCGGGTTTAAAAGGGTTTTTTCAATTTGACACATTTTATTTTTAACAATTGCTTTTTTTTAAAATGGACAAAGGCAGTATTGCATTTTTAATCAAAAAGGGGGCATTTGATACAGTTAAACACTATCCGGGCAATAAGAATTTTTTTTCTTTTTTTATAAAATTTCAGGACTCAATTAATGACATCTTACATTGGTTTAAGTCTTATCTCTGATAGTTAAGCTGGTTGATGTGGCTGGGTACTTATTCTACTACTGCTCTGAGTTACCTATGCTGCCCCCGTGATGTTCATTTTAGGTCCTTTTTATGTCTAATAATGTCAATTACATGTCTTCAACCCTAAGCAATAAGCTTTTATTATAATGCACAGGCCGAGTATCAGGACCCTTGGATAAAAAATATGGCCAGATTGATAAAAAAACCTGTGTTTCATGCTTTAAAAAGTGTCAACCAACAAAATAAAATGTAAATAATGACCCCCTTTAAAAATATACTTCAAGTTGAAAGTATATTTTTTAAAGGGGGATCATTATTTACATTTTTGTTTTGGTTTTATAAACACAGTTTTTTTTTATCAATCTGGTCATCTGGTCTATTTTTTCTTTCCCATGTCCGGGATCTCGTGCGCAGTGGATTATATGCTGATGGACTCGAGGAATCCTTGTGTCTCATAAGAATTAAATCTGAAAGAAAATTCTTTTGGTAGGTAACGATGAGTCTTAAAGATGCTTAATTGAATAAATTGCCTTTGCATCTTGGAAACAGAGTCTATTCTTTTTTTTAAGTTTCAACTAACCTGGCCCTAGCTCCAGGCACAATGTAAGTACGCAATAAAGTACACAGCTGGTTTTTAAGTATTTAGGTGCAAATATGGATCAAATTCTTTTGGCGTCGCCCTTTGATGCTTGCATCAATCTTTTTTGTTATATCTATTGAAGGGTGTTTGAAGGATCAACAAGGCCAAAAGAGCGGGCGGAGGGACACTTCAAGTAAAATACAAGATAAAGTTTTGCGCTAAACAAATCATTCAGTGAAGTTCACAACTAACATTCTCTGTTTTTAAACAAGAATCTTTGCTTTTTCCATATTTTACCAGTCTTTTTTCTTTTCTTTTTCGATATTGATAAATATTTTAAAGTATATTCGAAAAATTACTTTTTTCAAACGGCTATGGGGACAACCGGGGGGTACAAACAATTTTTCGCTCCCTTGATTTCACAGCTGTGAAAACAGTTTGTATCAAAAATATAAATCCCACATTTAAATTTAGAAAACAAAAATACAATTGTTTCCCAAAAATTTTCAGTAATTTTTTGACACTGATGTGTGTCTAAGTCACTATAAATACCCCTTTAGTTCTTAGTAGCCGTTTTTTTCTTGGGGTTCAGGCAAAATACAGCATTTTTAATATATACCAAAAAATTTAACTTTAAGTCTTTTAAATATCCCAAAATCCTCACTTTATTAACTCCCTTGGGAGAATTGTAAAGCCCTTTACAACGTCACATGAATGATGAAAGTCACATGACGTAAAGTCAAAATTCAAAATTAAAACACCCTTTAAAAAAAACCTAACGCATTTTTTTTTTCGTTTTTTTAAAATTTTCGTACCTGGGCCTTATATTTTATAAAAAAATATAAAAGTTACAAAAAATGAAAAATAAAATTTAAAAAACAAAAAAAATAAAATAAAAATATTGAATTTAAATTTTGTGTGGGGAGAAGGTCATAACAATAGAACTTAATGACATTATTACAAAGTATGACTAGTACAAAGTATGTTTGTTTGTTTGTTTGTTTGGTTTGGTTTTACGTCACACCAACACGGTCAAGGTCATATGCGACTTTCCAGCTTTACCTGTGGAGGAAGACCTCAGTTCCCTGCTTTATGGTACCTGAGTGAGAACCACTGATAGTCCTTAAGCTAGCTGGATTGCAAAGTTTTGATGGTAAAATTGTACAAAACATTCATGATTTCTTAGCTTTTAATTTGGGAAGCATTTAACAGACAGTTTACTCTCTTATATACATGTATATAAACCCTTCCATTCCTAAAATTTGCATAATAATTAACCTGCATAATATAAGCAGCCAGTGCCTTGAAATCAGGACAGTACAATGTTATTTTTAGCAGTTTCAGTATCAAAAGAATTTAAATGTGTAAAATTATAAAACATACAGTTACATGATATACCCAAAGCAAATTAATGTTTTATAAATAACATTTTTTAAGGGCGAAATTTTCTAATGTCATTCAGGGGTCAAGGTCATGTTCCATTTTATAATGTAAAACAATTTCAACTAAGTTTAGTTTTATTTTTCCCTCTAATGCATGTCTCTAAAATGAGAATTCAAGTCCCATTAGCAACTCATTTGCATTTCAAAATAATGTGGCGTGAAAAAGGTCACATTTTAAAGTATTTTTTTTATTTTATACCATCCTGATGTGTTGAAGTTCATAGGCTGCTAAATTTAGAACCCGAATAACACATGTATACAGGGTGCATTGCTCTTTTTTCTGTACAGTGTTTTTGGATTATAGAGATATAAGAATTTTTTCCAGACATGTAATTATCTGTTTTGCCAATGAAAAGTAAAAATGTTTTGCCAGTGAAAAGTAAAAAAAAAGAAAAAAGATTCTGCCATTATTTCATTAATCATTCCATACTGGTGCAAAGACCTGCTAAAATTTAGGCAGTCTTTTAAGAATAAGGGTTATTTCAACATTTTTATGCAACTTGTACAAGTCATGCTATATGCGGATTTATTTAAATTAAATGTGCCTAGATGACTTACAGGCAAGAAATTAAATGCTTAATAATTTTATAGAAAATGTGTTTTTAAGTGCTTGCAGGTAAAAAATTTTGCTTTGTTTTGGGAAGTTACAATATAAAAATTATTGTAATATTACATAGCCAAAATTACAAAGTTAAATTGTTATAATTTTCAAGCATATTAATAATTGAGCTGTTTAAATAATGTAACCATAGCAACTGTGGAATATTATCACATGAAAATATATCATTGAAATTAATAAATTATGCTATCAAATGACAAATACTCAATGCCTTGATAACTAGAACATGTGGAACAATTTTTATTTTGCATATACTTCAATTCAAAAATTTCCTTTATCAGTACATAATTATTTATTTTTAATAGTGTCATCATCAGGCATGGGTTATGTAAAAACGTAATTGTACTGCACTGTAATGGGTTATATTTTCACAAGTAATGGCATATTATATGTAATACACATACATTAAAAAAACAAATACATATATACATGTATACATGTATAAACAGAGTTTATTTTTAGCTCACTCTTTTAAATAAAATGTATTTTTGTATTTTTGGAAGATTATAAAATACTGCTTATTTTTAAATATTATTAATCTAATTTATGATTTTCAAACTATTGTGGAAGCTGAATAATATTGTCATAAAAGAAATCCACATAAAATAATTTAGTAACCTGATTCATTTTTGCTATTTTGAAGAGATAATTGTAACTGCTTTCCTATGATAATAATCACTTTATACAGCTTCTAGTGTCAGTTTCATTTCACAGTTTTTAAACTGCTCAAATTCTGACCTTGAGAATGTCATTCCACCAAGAATATGAATTTTTTGTATCAAATATAACTGGAAGCAATCTGAATATATCAATAATGATTTTTTTGAATTTCATTTCCCTCCTAATCCGAGTTTATTAAATAAACATGTATAGACATTGTTTTTAAATGTCGCTTTTCATTGGACAATTGTGACGTTTATATGGATTTATATACGCCGCTGCAGTCAATTTATGAAGAAATCTCACTTTTTTCTCTAAAAAAGATGCTTGCTGTATTATGAATTTGTTAAAAATATTTCTGACAAGTTTTATGGCCGTATATACAAACAGTTGTTTGCATATAACCCTTGCCTAGTGGTTGGATCGGGTTATATTTCAAACAATCGTTTATATATGGCCATATAACCTGATAAAAATAATATAAAGAAAACCACCAAGAAATCTCAACTCTTAACAATTTAATCATATTTTCATCTTTAGTCCAGTACTGTGCATAAGTTTAATAATTTCATTGGCTATAAATTCATACATAAATTTAAATAAAGAATTTTGAGGGGAAAAAAACTTACAATATAAAATCATTCCTCGGGAAATTTTTTACACCATTCCCTTGATATTAAACACCAAGTGTTCATATTCCCAACTTTTAACAATCACATGTTTATTAGAAACTGTTTAACTTGGTTTACTTAAGCAATTTTTAGGTATTTAACTACCAATAACCATGTCTCTGATACTTAACAAATTGTTTCCGTTTCATTTCCTACCTTAAGAGAGTTATTTTATTTGCAGCTAATTCCAACAGACAAGATAGCGCAAAGAATAAATACCTTCAAGTGATTTTTGCGCCACAACACTATTTTCCCAGAATACTTTATTAATTCCCTAAGCACATCCTGTCTCAAGTTAGCTATAGACTGTGACAAAATAATCTGTGTAATAATCAAAGAAGCAGTCTAAAAATCTTGTAGACTGGTTCCAATACCTCTTTCCACAAATCTCCCAACACCATAATTGGAAGTTTTCCTTACACTTTTTCTTGATCCCAGTGGCAAATCCTTTTTATCCAATAAACTGTTACAATAACCGATTATGGATTCCAGTATGCAGAAATTTTTAAAGAACAACCAGTGCTTCCGTATATAGTCTAAAATATTCTCCTAATCAAACCTAATAAAAAGGCTTTTGACTTATTATTCTGTAATAAATACAGCAAGAATAAACATTTTATTTTCCTTTATTCCAATAAAAATGCTTATGAAACCTTAAAAACTATCCTAAAACTGTCTGTTTCTCTTTTTTTTAAGACTTTCATGAAATATATCCAGTACAGTATTTAAAAATTGGACACAAATTTCAACATGTATGTGATAATGTGAATGTTTTTAGAGCACAATATTATGATTTTATTAGTAAATGTGATATCCAAAAAAAGACTGTTGAAGCTAAGCTTTCTTAAATATTAGTACTCTGGTGGTAAACAATTAGTTTTATTAACACATACATTCTAAAGCAGTTGACCAATAACTGTTTGTTTAATAATGTTTGATAACTGTTTGTTCAGTATGATCAAGCCCAGCAATTTTACAAGTTACACCCAGAGAAGTTTGGAACCCTTAAACTGGCATTTATCTCCATGCAATTTGCACAGTAAGTATAGAGCTCACCAATTCCTTAAATAGAAGTTTGGAATTCTTATTGGCGAGAATTTACCACTTTGTAATTTCATTAAAGTATTAACATTTAAACCTTAAATTTACCTTATTTAATGTACCGTAGATAACTGTTTGCAGGTATCTTTAATATAAACAAAGTGTACAAATAACAACCTGAGTTAGTTGTTTGTTTCCTGTAATAGAATTAAACTAACAAGCCAATTAAATCAGACTTATCTCTCATTTCCTGCGGGATGTGCGGCTGGTTTGGGATCGGCTAGCTTAATATACTGGGGTCATGGGTTTGTTATTTTTCTGCTTCAAGCTCTGATAATGGTTGCTTGAACTGTAGATAGTACAATAAGAGTAATTATTTTCAACTAAAACAAGCAAAAAAAGGTTTTTGTACAGAAAATTTTATATCTTGATTCAGCAGATCATCATCCAAAGAGCAAGAAGAAAACTACATGTTTATGTATTTATCTTTCACAAGAAAGTTGAAGGATTTAAATCTCTGCGGAACTTATTGTATAAGCTAGTATGAATATCCCATATATGATGAATATGACATATTTATGCTATAATGTCTGCCAGCTTATAAGCATACAACAATAGAACAGCCTGGGCATTATGGTATGGTGAACATAAATGAAAGGTTGAACCTATCTTCAATGGGGAGGAGATTTCCTCACAAATTTTGACCTACATCATTGATCATGATCAAATAATGCCCTATTATGATCATGTAAACAGTAATTACGCAAATGGATCTTGTATCCATTAATATCAATATCAAGGGGCTATTATATCCCTGCTAGTATTGGCTTCATTATAACTTTAAAGGCCCATCATGAACTAGCAATGGCTTTAAATTACCTTAAATACCCATCATGAACTGAGCAAGGGCTGCTGAAAATTGACTTTATATTACTTTTAAGATCCATAATGAACACTAAGCTAAGGCTGCTACTAGAATTGGCTTCATTCACCATAAAGACCCATAATGAACTGAGTTACTCTCACCTGAAAGTTATACAAAACATATTAATGTTATAGATACATGTATATTAACAAATTTTGTATTTCAATTTTAATATTGCAATAGTCAGGTTTTCTTAAAATACACTGGCCTGAGTACCACATTACAATAATTATTATTATAACAATGCATTTTTTTTTCTGTTCCAATTTTGAATGTTCTTGGAACATTATGATGAAATGACTCATTTATGGTTGCCTGTTCAGTTTTTTTGCACTTCAAGCAACAACAAGACTGTAACATTATATGAAACGAAAAGCAACAATGGAAGTTTGATGTTGTATCTTACCAATGCCAAACCATAATGCAGCAAATGGCAACAATGTTGACGGCAACTGTTGCCATTAAACCTAAGGTTGCAGATATGCATTTCATTTTTCAGTCTTTATTGTCCTTAAAACTAAGCAGCAATAATGAATATTTTTATGGAACAGAATTAATGCATTTATTCTATCTTGCTTGATGACATTGGAACTTGCATTATGCTTAATTCCATCTTGCTTGATGACATTGGAACTTGCATTATGTTTGATTCCATCTTGCTTGATGACATTGGAACTTGCATTATGCTTAATTCTATCTTGCTACATGACATTAGAACTTGCATTATGCTTGATTCCATCTTGCTTTATGATATTTAAACTTTGCATTATGCTGGTTTCCATTTTTCGTTATTTCATTCAAACATTTCGTAGTCACCAATTCTTTCATTGAGTGATAACTAATAAAGTGGAACAAGCCATTTGGAATACTAAAATGTTAACGTCATATACCTTTATGCATAAGCTACCTTTCTTCATGCTCTATACAAACCATTTACGGTTTAGTTTTTTTGTATTACTTTTATGTATAAGTCATTTAAAATTAACTATTTAATGTTCCCTGATGGATTTTTTAAAATATGACTTATAGCTCGCATTGCGTGATTACTATTAGCTTTCGCTTATATCCATTATGCAGTGTTTATGCTTAATAAAGCTCGGTGTCTGAGGCTTTGTGGATAATGTTTGATCATCTTACATTATGATAAACAACTAAAACTATGTCTAGCGATTTGTGAACTGTTAAGGGGCGAGAACTCTGTTATCGATGTCAACGGAATTTTTTCCACGATTCGCCTATCATCGGAATTTTCCGTATAGATACTGCGTACATGTATATATAAATACATACTAAGCGTTTAATACATACATTGCAGTTGAAAGAATATAAATACAAGTAGTAAAGGATTATGCAATATAATTTTATATATGTATACAGTCTAATAGAAAAAAATATGCTCGTAAAAAGTGATGCAATGGGGCAGTTACACGTACAGTCAGTGGCGGATTCAGGCCCTGGCTTAAGGGCTGCACCTACCCCCAAATATACGTGGATTATATACGTGTCAGTTTTATGCAATAGTCTTCTTAGTGTACTCCCTTACCAAAACATATTATGCTGTTATCCAGTTGTCTAGCACCTGCCTAGGTACTGCGAAGGTCTTATCTAATGACTTGGACATTAAAAAGCAAAAATTATTGGCCTTTTAACTAAATAAATGTCTGAGTCACTAATAGTGGGGAATAGGTATGTAACGCATTAAAATATACATGTATAATAAGGAAAGAAGGAAGTTGTTTATTTTTGTGAACATGTGCATAGTCAATTACAAATGAGCCGCGTCACGACAAAACCAACATAATGGGTTTGCGACCAGCATGGATTCAGACCAGCCTGCGCGTCCGCGCAGTCTGATCAGGATCCAGGCTGTTCGCTACCAGTTTCTCTACTTGTAAAAGAGTTGGAAAGCGAACAGCATGGATCCTGATCAGACTGTGCGGACGCGCAGGCTGGTCTGGATCCATGTTGGTCGCAAACCCATTATATGTTGGTTTTGTCGTGACGCGGCTCAAATGTTGGGCATATGTGTGTCTGATTATAGATCAGACATCCCGCACACACCACCACATTCGCATACATTTGTGCTTAATGATATACTATGCACATCTTTCAGTAACATATTTTTATCACAGAAATTTATTGAAATCTATAAAATTCTTACTAATATGTTTTATTTAAATAAAAACACATACACATAATGTATAGGAATCTGCTTTCCTTATTACGGGTCAAGTAAAGTTGTGTCTGTCTTTAAAAGAAACTTCCATATATTTTTTTTGTAATAACACTATACATTTACGAATGTATATTCATACTGCCCACCTACAGTGTAAAGGATTGAAAGCACAATATTTGTGTGAAGCCAAATTATATTTATTTTATTTTACAGAAAAAAATCAAGTTTGTACTGTACTAAGTAGAGGTGTAACGGTTCATCGATGCATCGATAAATCGCGATCTGCCCTGTCCTCGATGAATGCATCGTAATGAATTTATAAATTCCAATATATCAGGATGCAATAGATATTTCACCACCCGATGCATCGATATAGCGGGAAAGTATCGCAATACACTAATAGTTATGGTATAATGAAAAATGCCTTTAATCCTTAAGTAAAAAGTAAAAATCCTAAAGTAATAAGTAATGTAAATTGTTGAAAGATCAAAACTTGAATATAAGCTATAATAACAAGTTGAAGAGTTTTTTTTTGTTATTGTAATAGTTTTATATTACATTCGTAATTATGCTGTGAACAAATGACCAAGTTTTTTATATAGATAAAGTCTGAAAGTCAATGTTGTGATATGTATTGCATCGAGACATAAGAATCGCAATATGCATCGCATTTTATCCAAGTATGCAATACATATCGTGAATCGCATCGTTTGGAAATGCAAGTATCGTGATATGTATCGTGACAAAAAAATGGCAATGCACAGCCCTAGTACTAAGTCCTGGCCATGAGTTACTAGATCGTTTAAGTCGTGGGAACGAGATATAACTGTGTCGTGCAGACGAAATAATTAAATCAGATTACACCATGATTTTCTAAACTTAGAAAATTTCTGTTTAAAGATTTACGTGCAACATTAATTTTTTGAAAATACTGAAGTGTTCACTTTGAACTTGATACATTTCTTAAGGATCATCAGGCCCATAAACCATACATTAATTTTGACTTAGTTATAGCCCTTTGTTGGGATAATTCTATGATAGAATTGGTCATTTTGTACGTACAACGGCCTGTTAACATTTGAGAGGGACTTAGTCCTGGTTTATTTTATTGGGTAGGGACATTGCCCGTGGACAGTAGATATCCTATAAGGATGTTTGAGGTCACGGGTCAGACAAACATGACACTTCATGTAAAATCATTGTCTGATGAATGATTTAGAAAGAATAAGCTGTAGTTTATATAACCTAAAAAGATCAGTAGATGACATCTAATATTTTTTAGGCAATTTGGTCAGAAATCAGGGTCACAATGACG